TCTTTTGGTCTAGACTACAATCTATAATGCGCCGACAGGGTTCAACCATTAGTTATAAGCACTCTTCTAGTGGTATCAAATGAAATATTTTTTCTTCACTCAAAAGAGTAAATTCTTATCTTAGTTCTTCTGACTTCAATAGGTGACGAACAATAAGTGATTTAATGATTATAGCGGTAGAAAAAGAGGATGCTTTCAAAATAAATTTAGAACAACAGATAGATTTTCTACACTAAAAAGTAGAAGGTAATATATAAGCTAGAAAAGCATAATTAATTATAATATGTTAATAAATAGGTAGGTATAATATATTTGGAATAAATTGCATTGGTTAAATGTTAGTACCTATGTCCTATACTAAATATTTTTAGATCTATATCAAAAGACAAACAAATTATTAATGAATAATTTAAATTAATTTGTATATAATATCCTTCAAGAGTTTAACTACATAAATGCGACTTACACACAAACAATATCTGTATTTAGGTACTGTTGGCTGTTGGCACCGTAATTAAACTGTGCTATCGCGTTTTGCTAATCGCTGTGCGACAGCACCTGTCCTAATCTAGTCTCCCGTCTCCTCCTCATCCGTCTAACTCAACAGTCATATCAGTTGGGATCATCAGAATTCTTGGAATTGGAAAAACTATTGAATTTTCCTTTTGAGTATCGTCACGTGGATCACATTGATCATCAGTTTTATTATCACCAAACACGTTTCATTTCACAGTTTAGGTTGGCTTAAATTTCGAAGCAAGAAGACTACGATGCCCACCATATAATTATTTTAGATGCTACCAAGACTTTGACCATTGCGGAGTGTTTCACAATGTTACAAGTTGGATGTTCAATAGTTTGGAGGTTTAACGGCATTTTTTATGCATTCACAAATCTAACATAATAATTTTAAAAGATTATGTATGATATTAGGAGTACCATATATTCACAAAATATAACGCATTTGGAAAAATTGTATAAGATTATAGTAACCAAAAAAATATGGATAGGAAAACCAGAGTAAAATGAACAAGTGCAACAGATTAGATAAATACATAAGACTACATAAATACAATTTCTATAATTTGTGTGATGGTGTTAAGATGAGAAATAGTCATTCCTCGCACAGAAATAATTGAGATTTGTGATTTAGTAAAATGTAATTATACCAAAAATGAAATTTGTTTGTCACGCTATAGCCTATAATATTATATTATTACCTACCAACAAAGAATGCAAGTGAGACGGCGTTCGATTGTGCTACATTTAATGAAATAAGTCATGTTATGTTTTGTGAAATTCAGATAATGAATAAGTAATTAAATAATTGTCAATATTTTTAAATTTTAATATATTAATTCTCTTCTATACATTTCTATGGTTTGTTCTATGAGGTGTTTATTTTGCGACTTTGGTAAAGCTTATTCTTACATTAAGAATAATAGATAGACACGTAAAATTGAATTATTATTATTTTTATTATTATATATATTATTATATTATTATTATATTATTATATTATTATTATTATTATATACCTACTCTTTAACTATTGTAACAATAACATATTGTAGCATAAGTGCAGTTTACAGGTTATATCAAACATTCACTTAAAAATTAAATATAATGAGCTATAAACTTCTAATAGTATTAAAAGGATTTTTATACCCTACTCTAAATGCACTTTTTAAAATAGTGGAAGAGGCAGAGAAAATATAAACAAACAATATTTCCTTTTAATCATCAACACAACATTATAGCTTAAAGCTTTTGGAATATTTTTGAAATTAAGCACGTATATATATTATTACTTATTTATGGTCTTATAAATTATGTTAAAATGTTTATAATTACCATATCATGTATATTAAGTGACTGTTTAAATAATATCAGCCATAAGGTCTGAYTTATAAGAACTAYAATCACATCTACGGCCATTGCAGCTATAGGAGTCCAATTCACAAATGTTAGGTCCATCGGCCTTGCCACATTTAGGTGTATCAATTTTTCATGAATTGTTTCAAGTTTGTTCAATACCACGGACAGTGGATTATCGACAAATATACGCCAAATATGATTTATGGACAATCCAATTAAATATAATTCAAAACAACAGATATATATCAAAGACGTTGGTTCACTCATTTCCTTATCAATTTTTGAGAGCTATGAAAAAAAATTCATAAACTAATTTCACAATTTTTACATCATATTATGATATAAATAATTACTTATAATTAATTTTTTTTATATATAAGGATAATTCTCATTACTATACAGGTGTGTTAGAGTTTAGATATAATAATATAATAATTTATGAGGAGAACCTTTTTATATAAGACCTAATGTATTATAATAGTTCCATACAAATTACTATACAAATACTGTGGATCAAATTACATTTTATAATACGGATGTTTTTAAATGTTCATATTATATAATTTACGAAACTGCAAAAATTAATTATAATTGATAGGTACCTACCCTTAACTTTGCGATCATTATTAAAATTGGCGGCAATGGTCATTAGTTACAATTTTTTTATAGTTTTTGTAAATGGTTGTACAATGTGGTATTTTTTAAAAAAAACTTCCAAATTTGTGTGTTAATGTCCTCATCGGATTCGATTGTTGCGGTAGATATACCTAATGTGTTGGTTAAGTTGATGCTGTTGATTTCGTCTGTATATACGAGGCATTCTGTGATAATGTGGATGACTGAAATTTCAATTCCACATTTATTGCACCTTGGTTTCTTTTCTTTTGCCATCATAAGGCTTAAATATGTAAGACGAGTGTGGTCGATGCAATGTCTATTGAATAGTAACTTATCTCTTCTCTTTAGAAAGGGATTTAGGCAACCGAAGATTATTTTTACTTAACTTAGCTTTCTATATGAACCAGAGGTCTTTCATTTTATAAGGATGAGCTTTTTGATTTCGTTTTTTAAATCATCATAAAGTTTTTATACTAAGTTTGGGGCTATCTGATTTCACTGCTTTCTTGGCATCTTCATCTACTATTTTTTACATTGGATAATTCTATTAGTATTACGATCATTAAAAAAATATATTGAAAATAGTAGAAGATAATGAACCCAACGAATTATGTTTGTTAGAAATAATTAATAAATTAAACTAGTTTAAGAAGCTAAACCAAATAATTAATAATAATATTATCATATTACAATTATATAATATGATTATCGTATAGTTTAACGAACGAAGTTTCTGTTAGCCAATTTAATTTTCAAATTTTAATGGTTTTTCAATGTATAATTTATGGACCTATTAACATACAAAACTATTAATATTAAATTAAATATAGTTATTACCCATTGGTTTGCATAGTAGAAGTTATTCAAGCCATTATAAATGACTATACATCGCAAGACATATAACACCAAAGACGTCTTAAAATTGATCTGGCTATAATTTATACTACCAGCACCGAAAATCAAAAAACACCAGTTGAATCGATTTAATGCTGATCTCGCACTCATAATTGCATTTATTAACAAATTAAGTGTAAAGGAAAAAAAATTTAATAGTTAGGATTTTAGGTTTTAAGTTATGAGGCCTTTACTGATTTAAACTGAATTAAAACTGTTTTTATAATTGGTATCCTTTTATATGAATAATAAATGGATTTACATCATTTATCAATAAAAAATACATAAAACCACTGAAGTGAAAAAACAATTATTGTTATTGAATGAAATGTATGATACTTGTACTCAAAACTCAATTTACAT